AATAGGAAAGGAGGGTGAGGTGCTTTTCGTGGCTTTATACTCTCAATACTAAAATGTGTTGACTAGCCACAGTCAGGGCAATTTGGAATAAAACCCACAAACTCAATTTTTGCATAATAATGTTAAAATGTAAAATACGAATCCATTATTAAATCAGTATAAAGAGAGGAAGTAAACATTAGCAGTTAGTCGACAGCATTATACTCAATCCATCATTTGGCTAAATAATTGAGCTACGAGCTAACCAACATTAAGCAGCTATTAAGCAGCTATTGTACAGCGCCCGGGGAGCAATGGGAGTGAGGGGGGAAGGGGGATGTCCGGTGCCTTGCTCAAGGGCACCACGGCAGGGCAGGAGGTGAACTGGGACCTGTCCAAGTAGCAGTCCACACTCCATGGCCGTTTCTCAATCTTGAGGATACTGGCTTCCAAGCCAATTTTTCAAGGATGCTACGTCATCGAGTGCCGCCGAAGGACTGTTCCAATGTCCAGCATACTTGGAATTCCACTGAGGCCGCGTCCTTGTTTTGGGGGAAATTTCGAGGCTGCACATGGGTACACTTCGCGTCCTTAAAATCCCCACAATGCTTTGCGCACGGAGCAATTTCAAAAGCCCTTGCGGAGAATGGCTGAACCGACGCAGCACACATTTAAATGTAAGTATGTAGTGGCGTAGAACATGTGTTGGTAAATGTGTTACTTTGTTAAATTTGTTACCACCATAAATGTGTTCCGTGAAAGTAAAGCTAGTTCATAATTAGATAGACATCGTGAGGTATTTATTTTCAGTACAGTTTATGTTGAAACCGTGGCACACTTGTTAGCCTGTTCCATTCTTCTTCGTTTTCCAAAGCCGTGGCTTGGAAGTATACTTGCTTCGTTTCTGAAGGAAGTGACTTGGAAGTACGCGACTACCAAGCCAGCATCCTCGAGATTGAGAAACGGCCCATATCTTTAGGTCTGGTCGGGGACTTGAACCGGCGACCCTACAGCTCTGAGTCCAAGCCCCTACTAACTGAGCCACTGCAGGATCAATTCTGGTGCATTGAGTTACAGTACATTATGATGCTATCAATCAGGTTCAAATGTCATCTTGTAGGATTACGATTTTGGGGAGAACATTGTATAAATACACTGAAGGAGACGTTTTCACAGCAAAAAAGATAGAGGATATTACAATATGAATATTTTGCATCTTAACACTAGATCTAGGCAGCCGAAAATACATAATTAAAACCAATAATGCCAAGATAATCTCATCAAATTGAACAATTAACTGGGCAATTAACTAGTAGATATATCACTAACACAATTAAAATGTTATTATTTAAGTATATAATCCACACAACAGTTCCTCAGGGAAATCAATAAATAATTGTTATTGATAAAATCTCATAACTTCCATCCTTATAGATACAGTTTTCATCCTAGTGTTTGCCACAGCTGGACTCACATACATTATGGCTGTTTGCTAAGAAAGCTTTCCGTTTTGTCTTTGAAAGAGTACATTGTGTTATGTTATTTGCATAAGCTTTGCATAAACAGTAGGATTTCTCGGTGCAGCTGCGATTCATCATCAGAAGAGCTCGTTTAAAGGGTGCTTGTTGTTGGGAGGGTTCGGCATGCAGCTTGGTGGAACAGTTAGCTCAGAGAACGTTGTGTACTTCTGTAGATTCATGTATCAGATGCACGTCAAACTCTGATACTAATATTTAATAATAGTAATTAAAAAGAGAACAATGGTCCATTCGTTCTTGCAATGCCTGCTCGTAACAACAATTAAATGACGTAAAACCAAACAAAGAAAAAATACTTATAATTTACATGATTACTCACTTTATTCGTTTGGAGCTTATAGTTTTACTTTTGAAATTACATGTATTTTGCTTGGCTCAGTTTTCTTTTCTCTTAAACTCTTTTTTAAACGTTTTGCTTGATTCAGAGAAAATGTTGCTTTATCTTAATGGCACAAAACTGATTCCATACAACAGGAAGGGACGTCAAAAGTGAAACTTAGAAAACAGACGGACTGCCAGACTGCCAGAGCAGCAGAAAGAAAACAGGGTGAGTGTTAAAACCAGGCTGTGTCTGAACAATTAATGTTTTGTGGTGGAACATTATGGGAAACAATTCACCGTTGTATATATTGTGTGTTGCACCACGGACCTGTTAGAGAGTGTACCGTGTTGTTGTATTCATTCTAGCTTGACAGTAGCAGGTAGCAGACGTTCCTACCTTTCTGTAAACGAATGGAAAATAAAGTGTGGGGTTCCATACTGAACACGCCGCCTCCGACTCCCATTCATCGGCCCTACAGTTTACTATTTTACTTTATCTCCGAAAAACACAGTCTCGATCAAAAGCAACATCTTAGAGTCCGATGTGGCATATTGAAATGTTGTAGGCCTAAACTTCCCCTTTCACGGCCTTGTTTCTGCGCCATCGTGGTTACATAACTATACAGACGTATTTGTTGTTGTTTACACTAGTGGTGTTAGTTAATTCAAAACAAAACTGTGATTAATCTTCATAAATCAGAAGTTTAAAATATCAGTAGGCCTTTTAACTTGTATTTTGGAGAGATAAAACAAACAAAAAGTGTGTTGTAGTCTAATAAAGCGGTCCATGAAAAACTGCTGAGAGAAATAAGAGAGGTTTTCACTTTATTATAACATCTCAGCTAAATTATGATGATTTCCGAATTCCTGGCATGACGTCAGAGCATATTGCGAGCACTATCTGCTCCAAAAGTAGTTTCCTGTCCATTTCCTGGATTCAGCATAATGCCACCCCTCCGTTTCACCACACCTAAAGAACGAGTGCACAACATTTGTCATGGATTAAATGTGCTTTTACACCGAGGTATTTACTGCTCTTACTGATTTCTGGAGGTGGAAGAAGTACTTTAGTAAAAGTAGAAGTATCTTTTAGAACTACCAGAGTGTATGAATACTCTGTTACTTACAAGTAACAGTCCTGCATACAAAATGTTGCTAAAATTAGAAAGTATTAGCGTCCAAAGTACCAAAAGTAAAAGTAGTCATTGTGCAGATTGCTCCATTTCAGAATAATATGATATGTTTTATAATTATTGATCATTAAAGTGTTCTCAAAGCTGGTAAAGGTGCAGTTAGTTTTAGGGTTTCCCACACATAGACTATACTTGAGCGGGCCTGCCAGGTATATTAACGGCCGCCCAAGTGTATTTCGCGACCCATTTAGGTTTTCTTTTTTCTTTTTTTTCTTCCTCCGTGACCACGACGCCATCTGCGATCGATTAACTTGTGGACAATGATCCCTCGCTCTACGCCTCCTGTACCCAGTCCCGGACTGGCCATCGGGAGGACCGGGGGGTTTCCCGATGGCCTGGCCTGTTAAGTGGCCTGCCTCACACAGGGTGACTGGCTGTCTACATGATGTGGCCTGCCGACATGGCCACTGTCATACAGATCATAAATCAAAGCCCTTGATTGGTCTCTGTGTGTCATTCAAGCTCGGGATAACCTCAGCTCAGGTGAGGTAAAGGACTCTCTGAGTGTTTAGATAGTNTTTCAAAAGTCTAGTTTGTTGTTTGCGGCCCAATCCCAAACCACTCCCTCGACCCTACCCCTCCGTGACGGAGTGAACTCCGTCTGTAGCCACACTCGCAGCTCTGCGAGTGTGGCTACAGACGGAGTTCACTCCGTCACGGAGGGGTAGGGTCGAGGGAGTGGTTTGGGATTGGGCCGCAAACAACAAACTAGACTTTTGAAACTAGAGGAAGATAAGGAGGACTTTTACAAAAAAGTAATAGAGATTGTTGTCCAGAAGGATAGCATCGACTTCATCTTCAAGTCAAGGTAAGACCACAATTGTAATGAAAATGGGTTCTTACTAAGAAAGAACAATCCAATATTTAGATGTTGGGTATCCTTTTCTTGAACGTTCTGTTTAAAATTATGAAAATAATAAGAATATTTAGATTTAGCTCAAAATATAGTAGCCTATTTGTAAATCTGACTCTCAAAGAGTCAGTGCCTCACCAGCCATGAACCTCACTGCACGTCACTGTGAATACTTGATTCTGATTGGTTAATTCAGAACATGTGACACGTTGTTAATCCAGTACAGTCCGCTGTCAAGGACTGTAATGACCGTTGCTAAAGAGGATCACGAAAGAAAAAGGAAAAGAGGTTCAAATTAAAAAAAATCTTAATAATGAAATGTTTCCACACAAATCATAATGTTTTACAAATTATTTCGCGGCCCACTTGCAATGCCTTCGCGGACCACTAGGGGGCCGCGGCCCACAGGTTGTTAACTGCTGCTCTATGGTAATGAGAGGAGCTGGAATCTGCCTTGGCCATTCTCGCACAGTAGTACTAGAAGTGTAATACAATTATGCATGTGACCTTTTACAAGTTGTTTTCTACATTTACTCTTGATTGCTATGTGGGTCAGGGGTCTACAGCTTTGGGGGAGGGGGGTGCTAACTAACTAAATCCATTGCTGCCACAGACTTGTGTACATGACCGGACTTTCAGAGGGCATTCTTTACTGCTGCCAAGTTCCATGTTTGTGATAAAAGTCTCATAAGACATCATTGTTTTATTCATTCCTCATGTTTCAAATGCAAGCATGCTTGAATATAACCATAGCTAAAACCATATCAAATCAAACATTAGTATAGAATACAGAAAAGTCTTTATTAACTAGGGAGCTACTCAAATGACAATCTGTCAATTTACATGTGTCACATCTTTCACCATTTTGTTCACGCCACTGTGTATGTTCCAATATTATTTATACTTTTAAATATATATACATAATATTGTTTAATTATTTTCCCTGTTGTGAGATCTGTAGTGAATGTACCCTTTAAATACCTGCATGGCTTGGAATGGTCGCTAATGCACACCCTCTCCACTTTATATTGTACACTAGTATACATCATACATGTTATTATAAACCTGCAGGTAATTATTTTATGGTTCTTAAATTGTTGTTGTTCCTAAGTGTGATAAATGATAGCATAATCTTTCGTATTTTTTCAATTTGTGTTTGTGTATTTCACAGTCTGTCAAAGAACCTTATCAGCGACCAATCAGGAGACCAGCTACTGGAGGCTTTGAACAGATGTAGTCACCTGGAAGAGCTCCGGTAAGGAAATAATGTCATTGTTTTATTGTCTTATTCCTGTGAATGCTGTTACTAAAATACAATGAAACACCTTTTAAGAGGTGAAGATTCTGTCGTGTATTCAATAACGTTTGCACTTATTCTACCCATTGCTAAAGAAGCAATACAACATTTAAAGGAATCTTGGCTTAATCCAAAAGTGACTTGCAACTGGACTCAGACTTTAACAACAATGACTCGTGACTTTACTTGGACTTGAGCCTTTTAAGCCCAAAGATGAAAAAGTATACAGTTTTAAACGTGTGCCAAAAATCTGTTTATTTCCATTCATATCCTGAATCACATACAATTAAGTAATTCCCAGCAAGTCCACTTCAATCCAATCTAACAACATCAAATCATGTTGCAGAAAAATGTTGTGTTTCTGAGTGCCCTTTGGAAAAAATTATATGAAAGATAGTTCTCTATGCTAAGGACTTACATTTGTTCAAGAGCGCATGATGAGCTGTTTAGGACTCGAAAGTCAAAGTATGGACCTTAACTGTCTTGACTCGCAATGTGAGTGCAAAGATTTCACACTTATTCGTGACTTGTGAATAAATTACAGGGTCTATTTGTTTTAAAGGCTTTAAATTAATGAGTGTGTCTCCTTTTAACCATGTTGACGTTTTCTATCTTGGAAATGAGACTTATAGCTATAAAACATTTTGATGCTAAGCCCTTTGTTATTACCACATCTAAAAACATTTATATTCTTAAAGTTTTCTATGCTGGGAACAAGTACAGTTTTCCATAAAGATAGATAAATACTTTATTCATCACAAATCGGGAAATTATTTTTGTTACAGCAGCAAAGTATTTAGGCATTAAAATTATTAAAAGGTGGAAAAAACGTATAGACATAATAAAATAAAATAAAAACAATAAACAGCAAGTATATATACATATATACAGTAGAAAGGACATGAACCACAAAGAATACACAACAAAAAATGTTCTAGATGAACTAGACTCTAGAAGTTAGACTGTTATATAAAGACCAAATGACTACATCAACAGAAATATAAACGTATACAGTTTGTATACAAACAGTATATACAGTAAAAAAGAATAGAAATTACATTTTTTTGGCACATTTATAATGCTACAAAATTAAAACATCTCAACCATGCTTTCTTGCAGTCTGTCTAGCAACAGTCTCGGAGATCTCACCGCTGCCAGGATGGCCCTGGTTCTACCGTCACTGACACACATCACTGTGTTGGAGTAAGTCACTTTCACAGTTCCTAGTAATAATTATTACATTTGATATCCTGAGGTTAATGTTTTTGTGTCTTTCCAGTATTGCAGAGAATAAGATTGGAGAGGAAGGGTCAGTGAATCTGGCCAAAGCAGTAAAGTGCTTGAAGAACCTCACTAAGCTTCAGTAAGACTCTTAAGCTTCTTCTAATCAAGACCCTAATGGCTGACTATATTTATCAATACAGGCTTTGCGTTAAATGTTATGTTTCTTTTCCTCGTATGGTGTGGCAGACTGACCTCTGTTGGGACTTCGGAGCTGTGTGATGTTGCTGCCAGTCTGGCCCACTGTCCCCTCATACAGGATGTGGGGTAAGGTTGAAACATGTCATATAAGACATTGTCAGTAAATCATTATCAAGGATGTATGTTATTATATTACAGACACCGGGACAGTTAGGATGTTGGAGGTACTTTTCCATAGTTAGTGTATTTCCTAAAGTAGATGGCACTAGGCTTGCCCCCAGTTTAGAAAACTAGAGACAGGAGTGCCAGAACAGAAGCTAAGAAAAGTACTGTTGTAGATACAAATTAAATAGTATATAAAAGTCCATGTTAAGTGCTTTACAATCGCATCTTAATAAGACCGACGGTAATAAAAATCAATATACTGTATAGTAAGGTTATAGTAGGAAAATACAAATATTTAAATAAATAAATAAAAGAGAGTTTAAAGGGAATTCAAACAAAAGTAAATCCGGAAAGGCTGTCAGATATAAGTATGTTTGAAAAAACTGTCAGACCATATGCCAAGATTCCTTCCATCAGAATTGATATGATCCCATAGTGACCAACAGATGCCATCTGCTGGATGCCAATGAGAAGGATCGCTGTTAATCTCTGATAAAGATGTTTGGACAAAAGTAGCCCATGTTTAGATTCAGAGTTGCCCCGGTAGCGGAAGTCTCTGAAGGATGTCCTTAAATGTGCTACATTATTCTTTTCAGCCTAATCATATAATAATCATGGACAAGCTACATTACATTACATTGCATTTAGCTGACGCTTTTATCCAAAAGCGACTTACAATAAGTGCATTCAACCAGGAAGTACATCAGGTTTCATAGAGCCAAAACATTTCAAGTGCTACTCAACTGGCTTTAGATAAGCCAGTCCTTTGTTAGTATATAAGTGCTTTGTTAGTAGTTCTATCGCTCGAAGTGGAGTCGAAAGAGATGAGTTTTCCGTCTGCGCCGGAAGACGTGTAAGCTTTCTGCTGTCCTGATGTCAATGGGGAGCTCATTCCACCATTTTGGAGCCAGGATAGCAAACCTACATGCTTTTGCTAATGGGAACTTGGGTCCCCCTCGTAGTGCGGGTGCAGCGAGCCGTTTGGCCGATGCAGAGCGAAGTGCACGTGCATGAAAAAATATCGTGAGACGATCACATGCTCTAAAGGACTTTTGGAATTGTGTGCTGCAAAATTTAATGGCACGTTGTAAAAATACATTTAACCTTGGTTTTAGTACATGGTAAACTGTTACTACAAAGCGGTGACCTCAACCAAATATTTCCGCATCGGCCAGACCATGTTACCTCACAAAACCAGGAATGTCTTTCATGAATGGCTCTCTTCAGTTAATTCCACAGAATCTAAATACATTCGAGGCCATGATTGACCAATCTGAAACATGAATTTTCTTTAGTCTAAGACATTTTGTAGGTCATTTTTTCAGTATGTTTATCTGCATTTTCCTGTCACATTTCCCAACTTCTATTAAAATCAGATGACTGACAGCTTCCATGGAATTTCAACTTATAAAACATATTTTTAGCCAGTTAAGTGCATTGTTCCCATTGAGTAATAGTTGTTCTGGTCTTAAATGACAACATAAAGTCACGGTGACCCCTTCTCCATGCTTCACTATAAGGATTATGTAAAGTTATTGGTTTATTTTTCTTCATTAACAAGTGTAAAGTGTTTCTGCATTTCTGCATTGTTACAAGTTTGTCTGAACATTGTCCCAATAGCATAAAGGTTGTCAATGGGAAATGTACAGTATGGATCATTGTGTTTAAAGAGAGCACATTGCTTTCCTCAAAAAGCACCATTGTCACCTTTATTCATACTTTATTATTGAGACGTAAAACACATTCGAAGTAACATACACAGATCTTTCATGGTAACCCAAACGGTTTTCTATAACCTTTTACACCCTTGTTGGCCATTTTGCTTTGTTGAAAGTACTCTGAAACACATGTAGATGAGGGGCAGTGCACATGAGGTTGTGAGGAGTTTTCGACAGAGCAAGGTGGGGGTTATTGGTGGTCTTACAGCACCACCTATTGGATATTTGGTGGTATGTCTTTTGATGTAAGTCAGAAATCCTGACCAGCAACTCTATTTATAAGACTAGCCACTAAAGTGTGATATCACAAATAACACCACAAATACAAACAAGTGGTGGGGGAAAGAGATTTCAAGATTTTTTTTTAGAAGAATTAAAAAAAATAATTCACACTTCTTCTGGTTTTTTGATTTCAAGATAATTTAATAATATGCCAATATGAAAAGTAAGTTTTTGGGTGGTTTGAGTTAACATAGTATGTATTATAGTGACTTTGGCCACATCAGGCCACATTTAAAGGATGGGTTGTGCCCAAATAAAGGTAGGTCCGAAGGCTTCACTTTCCTGGCACTATGTACTGTATAGAACATAAATATGATGAACTCCATTTTGAATTGTGAGGTCTTTCAGGCCTGATTTTAAGAGGTGTTGATGTTTTGAAATGTTACATATTTGTCTTACTCTGTTTCCAGTCTGGGATGGAATAATTGTGGTGATAAGGTGGCAGAGGAGCTGGCCAGAGTTATGCCTCTCTGCCAGAAGCTGACCAGAATTGAGTGAGTTTGTACGCACACACACACACACACACACACACACACACACACACACACACACACACACACACACACACACACACACACACACACACACACACACACACACACACACACACACACACACACACACACACACACACACACACACACACACACACAACATTTCCGCTGAGATGTGTTGTTTGTTTGTTGTGCCTCCTTCATTTGACTTACTTGCGCCCAACACACTAACCATTGAAAGGGTAAAAAACTCTGGTTTTAGTCTGGTGGTTTTAGACCACACTCTCATCTGTGATGTGTGTGTGTGTGTGTGTGTGTGTGTGCGTGCGTGCGTGCGTGCGTGCGCGTCTGTCTGTCTGTCTGTCTGTCTGTCTGTCTGTCTGTCTGTCTGTGTGTGTGTGTGTGTGTCTGTGTGTGTGTGTGTGTGTGTGTGTGGGTGGGTGGGTGTGTGTGGGTGTGTGTCTGTGTTTGAGAGAGAGAGAGAGTGTGTGTGTGTTTGTGTCTGTGTGTGTGTTTGTGTGTGTGTGTGTGTGTGTGTGTGTGTGTGTGTGTGTGTGTGTGTGTGTTTATTTCTCCCAGCCTGGAGTCGAACACTGTGAGTGTTTTTGGAGCAGAGGCCCTGGTCAGAGCCTTACAGTCGTGTCCTGCGTTGAAGCTCATCAGGTACACTCTCGGTCATAGTGTCGCACATTATTGGCCCATAAAGGCACCTGTAGATTATGTTTGTCACTTTCAGTATTTGACAAATACCCCAACAAGCTTTTGAGATACCCCTACACGAGGAAGGACAAAGCACCACCATGTTTTTCATTGCCTTAATATGTCTATTGTCAAATAACCTACTTTTATAACAAGATAGCAGTCTGTGGTTCATATAAATGACATATGTTGGTGATTGCCCTCCTTACCTAAATAATGACAAAAAAGTATATACATATTTTTTGATTTTCTGACTATTCCTATTCCTTTTATTTAATGAGTTTTAATTGAGCATATGACACTTCTCTCTACTGCGTTTCTTCAGGCTGTGGAGGAACAAAGTCCCCATCAGTGTAGCCAATAGGCTCAGTCAGAGGGACACAAGGCTGAATTTCTCCTCCACCTGATGTCATCTGCAATGTCGAATGGTGGCAGTGGCGGGAAGAAGTTACATTCCTATTTACCAGAGTCTGCAGATGTGAATCACTGATACAAGATTTTGCCACCACTCACGAAGTTGCTGCCGGAGCCTGAGACACTACACCGGCAGTCATACGATGGCTTAAGATGCCCTCACGAATGGCCCGATGTTGTTACGATCAGAGCCGAATTTGAACATTTCCTTTATCGTGTGTCCATCGGGTGTCAATTTCGGGACAGTGTAACACGGGCTAAAGGATATGTTTAAAAAATGCAATACATTTTCATTCATTTTTAAGACAAACTGTGTGTTCATGGCTGGCGACTGGATGTGGTGGAGTGAAGTTTTACAGATCTCAAAGTTCTGTTCTGAAAGTTCTGAAGCTAGAGGCTGTAATATTTCCAGTAAGTTTCATGTGAGAAAAGGATTACTGAAGACTTTGAAACACTGAGTCACTTTGCAATGTAACGTGTTTACCATAATTAGACAACACATTACTGAAAACACAACATATCATAAACTCACAGTAAAGGAAGAGACGAAAGAGAGGAAGAATCTTTGTCGTCTACTCCAGTGGTCATTTAAGGTTGTGGTCTCTATCAGATTTGCATATTTATTTCTGCTATTATCATGGAATGTTAATTTTATTTTACAAAATTGAATTTAGGCTGATGATAATTGTATTGAACAAGAAGTTTGAAGCGCCACTCAGGATAACAGATTAACTGCTGTCATTGTTGTGCTGATGATGTTGTAATCATTCTGAAAATAATTCAGCTCATTCCTATTTGTATTATACTTTCTACAGTTCATTCAGTTTAATTTGAAAGTGGGATTTCCTGTGGTTTAAATATTGTTTTGCTTTTTAAGATTTGTGATGACGTTTGTCGTGACAAAATGCCTCTATTTAATTCACTCTGACTTGCACTGAAATATCAATTAAGATTAAAAAAAATAAAACTAAACACTATCTTGAGTTTTGGCCTTTATTTACATGTGACACTTGCCAGTAATGTTTCTTTTAGTCAAGCATGACATTTGATTTCAACTTCCTAACAATACAATTAAGATTCCACATTGACACATCAATTAGATTTGTTTTAAATTAAATTAAAAAATATATATAAAAAAAAAAAAGGTTTTTATTAAAGGTTTTTATTTAAACTTGAATTAATTCAAATGTAAACCCAATTAATTTGAAATGTCTACATGCACAAAGCATCATGTTTACATAACCTGTTCATTTTCTTCATATGGCACAGACTTCTTTATAACCCCTCTCTATTTAATTCTGAAAATGCCAACAGAGCAGCTGAAGGCACAGCTGTGCCTGTCAGTAACACTCTAAGCCAGGGGTGTCCAAACTACGGCCCGGGGGCCAAATGCGGCCCGCGGACCATTTTGAATCGGCACTCAGCAAATTCAAAAAGTATAATGAAATACGGCCCACAAATAAAACTTCTTAATATATGTTCAAATATATTACACAGTATTCATGTGTTAAGAAGCCCAATTTTCAAATAAATTCAGTCAATTCAAGTTGGAAACATGTTCTAACAAATCTAAGTTGATAAGAAAAAAGCCCAATAACTTATTTCCATAACACGCTTGAAATAAACTTTTCATATTTCCTCTTATGATAATCACTCTGAGGCTTCTGTTTTAAGGAATGAGCTGCTAACAAAATAAATGAAACCCCATGGAGAGCTGTGTGCTGTTTTTGTTCTTACAGCATTTCCAAGTATCAATAATAATTGACCTACATTGGATTGACTTTTCCAACTTATAACTTAATTTATGAGGCAATAAACCTCACTTCGCCTGAGTGGCCCAGCCCTTCGTATATTTGTCTTTATGTGGCCCTCTGTGAAAAAGGTTTGGACACCCCTGCTCTAAAGCCAAACAGTCCACACGGAACTCCCATTCATTGATGTAATGATTCTAGCGCCCTCTTGTGGACTAGGACTGGCTGGTGTAGATATTGGGCAGATTAACTGCATTCACAGGAAGCACTTAGCAGAAGACGATGACACACTTATGCTATTTATGACTTAATTATTAAGCTTCTATTGTATACTGGGTTGTCTCTATCACTGGCCTTTGGAGCAATAGTCACATTGCGATTTTACTAGACACACGTTTCTGTATTTCCATATAATAAAATAAGTAATACAAATTACATTTTGATTGTGTCAATCACCTTTCATTGCTAACAGCAATCCCAAGGGTTGCTACAGGAGGCATAATAAAAAAGCAAACAAAAGAAACATGAATGTGTATTGTCTCCACTAAATTTCAGAGGACAGAGTGACAATTTGTTGAGACACTTTTGCTTTACTTGAGCTATTTCCATTATTACTTTTTGTAATTAACTCCCACTAACATTTCAGAGGGTAAAATAGTGTTACTTGTACTCCGTGTATTTAACTACCTTAGTTTTGCTTTGCAGATTTGGATTAATGATGTGAAATTTTATCACACTTAAATAAAGATTTAACGTTTCACTGGAGTAAATGTCACAATCAAGGATACGTCTCCTTGTACTGCACAGGTACAAGATCTGAGTACTTCTCCTGACTCTGTCAGAGGGCAGGATGTGTTCCCTACTGGCATCTCGTTTGACAGCTTTAGTTTAATGTGGTTCATTTGTTAGTGAAAGGTGTACGTGCATAATGCACAGTTTTCAACAGTTTGTGAACATTTAGATATTTATACCAAAACCTCACTACATAATATATTACAGTTTCTTTCAATTTGCTAAACACCATTGTTACAACAGGGCTAATTTTCTCAAAAACCACTTAAAACAATTTCTCAAAACCACACACACCCAAAGTGCAAAACACCACATTTTTCTTGCAAAAGTAAGCATGCACCTAAATAAAATTACATAAACACTTGACCAAAACGAACTCTTACACCAAATGGCACCACCACTCATTCATAGCACAGGGTCCACAACTCAAGGGCCGGGGCCAATCAGGCCCGTTGGTGATTTAATTTGCCGCTAGGATCATTCTAATTATCATTAGATCTGGGCCCGCCGGGTATATTGCACGCACACCTTCACTCAATCCTGAGGGTTTCCTCAGCTCTGAGCCTGAAGCCAAACAGTTGATGACCTTGCACCCAAGATGAGGATGGCCAAGTCTATCTGGGCTTGAACGATAGCATCACAAAGCAGCACCTGAGTTTCAATGGATAGTTTCCCTTCGTCCTTTTTCTCACGGGACAACGCAGGGCATGTGTGGTTTGTTTTCTTTGAGGGGAAATAGTTTTTTTGAAGCTGTTGTTGCCTGTGGAAAAATGTAATAAGAAGAAATGACTTCCTGGAAAAGCTGCAGATAGAGCCGTAAACAAATTGAATGCAACTGATTCATAATGTTTTAATTTTGTTTTTAACGTATGCAATAATTTAGCTTTGTTAGTCCAGGTTTAACAGTGTGCAATAAGTTCCTGTTCAATACGTGTTGCAATAACCATTGAACCAGTACCGGCCATCGATAGTACCGATCTTTTTATTTTGGCCCACTGTGTATTTGAAGTTTGACACTCCCCTGATTTACTAGTATTAAGACCCTTTGTCCAACCACTACTACCATCTGTGCTTTATCAAAAGCGACTCCATCTCATCGGTGATCTGTGGATGCTAGAGAATTCTTGCATATACATATTGTTCAAGTCTACACAACTATGTGCAGAAACACACATATACTGTTACAAATACTTTGTTCTTACTCCAAGAAAAATTGGTGCAACATTCGATGCACAACACAATGTTACTGTTGTGTAAACAAAAATGATGCCTCTGTCAAATACAGTAAATGGCAAAAGAAAAGGCTTTTTGAGGAAAGAATAAATACAAAGATTTATATTACAAAAAACGGGAGAAAAGAAAAACTACTTCTGAGGCGGCATTTGACCACCTAGGCTGGTGTCTGACCACAGCACACTCGTGCAACCTGCAGAAAGAAGGTATCACCCTGTAACCTCACGGTCAAACAGCTGTCAACGAGTTAGTCTGCCAAATAAACTCTTCAATTTACTTCGGTCAGTCATCCTCCCTCTCTTTTATCCTCCCTCTGACCTCTTCCTCTTTCTGCTGTCCATGTCCATTGTTGTTGTAAAATGTTCTGTATATGAAGCTTTACAGTAATCTTAGTGCTTACATCCTGAATTGTCAACAGATAAAGCCAGTTTGGTGGTTTATGGTCATTTGGCATGTGTATCTGTTCAATTGGTTCATGTGTGTAGCATTTTTTTAATGGCCAGTGTTTAAAAAATGCAACTAAGTGGACGTATTCAGATTGTTTGTGTCTTACTTAGTTAGAGAACTGTGGCTCAGGTGCAAAAAGTCCAAGTGAATGCAAATGTTGGAGCGAGAAGATGTGTTAGAGTGTTTGGATGTATGAGCTCAGGTTTGCTCCTTTGATGTGTGAGTTTAAATAACTGAGCTAGTGAAATTGCGTGTTAGCAACTGAATAAAAACTGTAATAACTTCATCCACTTGAGAAGTTAACTGTAACGTGTTGAAAAGCATTCGTATGATTTTTGGTTGTAGTACTGTTTATTAACCTCAAGAGGATGCCATTAGGGTAACAATATGTTCTATAATGAGTTTTAGTTAAATGTACTGAATATATAAATTACACAAGCTAATTAAACTAATCTAAGAGTTAGGTCTTGTCATATAGAAAACATTAAAGTAGATATTAAACTCTACAGTCAAAGCTAACGTATACAAAAGTATATTCTAACTAGTTATACCTTAAAAAAACATTGGAGACGGAAGTGTTGTGACTGTTCCCATGAGATAGTTGGTCGCTAAATGAAACATAATCACGGCGGTGACCCCTTCTCCAATGCTCACTATAAGGATTATGTAAAGTATTGGTTTATTTTTCTTCATTAACAAGTGTAAAGTGTTTCTGCATGGTGCTGCTATTTTGTAACACGAGTTTGTTATTTCTGTACATGGTGTCTGCACGTGCATATTCCGCAGTGTACAGGATGACAATGAGACTAAGTCACATGTTGAGCTCTTGCAATGGTGTGCGTTGTTTTATACGC